CATTTCCAACCCCAAGTCTGTCTAACTAGTTAGCTGTGATGTCAGAAGTACAGGCTGTACCAATTGGTGCTACAATTTGATCTTCCAACTTGAGAATTATTCCCTTGTATGCCTGGCATTATCCTAAGTGCTTTACATATATGTATTATCTTATTCAATCCTTGCAACAATCTTATGCACTGTTATCATTCCTATTCTAGGGCAACAAAGGTAGTGAAGTCAGGATAATTATCCAAGGTAACACCGGTAGCTAGGAGTATAGGCAGTCCTCAAACCCAAGCACTCTGACTCGAGTCCATGCTTTTAATCAGAGTGCATGCCTCTCTAAAAACCAAGGGATGGGGTTGGAGCATAATGACAGCTTGTTGTTATACTCAGCTATCCTAGTGACCTCAGTGGCTCCATAAGAACTGCAGGTGGCATTTGTCATTTTAAGGCATTTATTTAATCCTATTCCAGTGACAAGAGAAACCCTAGGGGTTTTCAGTAGTTATAATCTCATCCTCATCTTCCAGTGGATTCACATTTCATGCTTTCGGTTTGCTTACGGTGAGGTAGGTGAACAGGGCTGGAAGAAGTCAGCAGTCAGCACCTATCTCACTCACCCCACAGGTTGTCTCTAAATGCCGCTGTTGCTCTAGGCCCCAAAGTTAAACATGAGGTGAGCCACAGTCTAGGCAGCCAGCCACACCAATACAAGCCTCCTGGACTAGGAGAGTTGCTCAAACCCTCTGCAGGCTCATGCTTCTGAGTGATGAGGAGGACAAAAGCTTTCAATGGGTAACAGGTGCTAAAAAGAGTTGATCTGCAAATCTGCCTAGAAATAAAGACTGAGTGCTAAACCCTAGTTCTTCTATTATTATTATTATTTTTTTTAATTAGCGCTGTGTCCTACTTTTGTAGAAAGGGTAGGAAGGGTAAATTTCAAGCTCTAAAGTTAGCCCAGGATAGAGGGCACCTTTGCTTGGCAAATGGAATCTGTGTTTAATGAAGGCCATAACCCACTCAGGTTTCAGGCTGATGGACTCCTGGTTTCTTTTGTTTCAAAAGTTACAGTGCAAGGTTTGTATCATGCATTTGCAATGTCCTAAACATGGCACAACAATTAGCCTGCAAAGGGTAATTTCTCAATGTCTTTTCATGACACCAGAGTGTAACAAGCCCTCTAATGATCTATCCACATCCTCCTACCACACTCCTCAAATCTTTTTATAGTCACAGGTAATTACACCATGGAGAGATTACATCACTTTGACAGCAGGGTTGCAGCTGACAGGAAGATGTTCTGTGGATGTTTTGGGAACTACATCCTCATTTACCAAACAGGTTGCTGTGGTCCCTCTATTGATCCTTCCCAGGAATAGAACTGCCTTGGCAAATCTTGTGTCTACACTGGGAACCAAACAACCAAGGGCAATGGTAAATGAGGACAGAAACAACCACAGAGGGAAGCATGGTAAATCCTACATCCTTTCTCCAGAAGAAAAAACAGATGGTATCTTTATTTGTCAAAATATTCTTTTGAAAGTTGAGCTGATTACTCCAATAGAGCACCATAAGGAATGGGTCTCGGAGGAGCCTGCAACTCAGCACAGGTAGTGTGGCTCTCAGCAGACCATAAGACAACAGAGTGACAGACAGGCAAATCCCAACCAGTGTCTCACCTACAACTGCCTATCTCTGAGCAAGTTATTTAACCCCTCTGTGCCTGAGGTTCTCATTTGTAAAATGGAAGCATGATCAGCTAATTCAAACACACTTTGAGAGCTTTAAATGGGATGATAACACAGAGCCTGATAAATAATTTTTTATATGCATCAGTTTCCTATCTGTTCTCTTAGTTCAGTGTCCATTATCTCTGACTCCAGGTTCCTCAGACACAGGAAGGTGAACCAGGGCCACCTGCCAACATCTTTCTGCCACAGCACTGTTAAGGGCCACAGCCACACCATCCCCCTGAAAGCCTAGTTCTCAACATTTTCTATCTTCAGTGAACACTAAGTGCCTGGCTTTCTCTCTGCCGTGTACGAATACAGATGGTTGCTTTTCCTGCCATTTTAAATTTGCATTAGGTACTTATGTGATATTTAACGTGGCCTAAAATTTTATGGCAACATTTTAAGGAGAAAAAATTCATAAATAATAAAATACCGAGTTTCTTCAGTAAATATGCTAAGGAGGGGGTGGGGTAAAATAAAAAGCTTTTTATATGGGTCAGCAAGCCAGTTGGGTTGAGACCATCCAACTATGCAAACATAGAAGACAAAGGAGATTACAGAAGTATTTCATCCTTCCTGGTCAAGTCTGACACCTTATCCCTAACCCAAAAAGTGACTTTGCATCTTCAATTTTGTTTTTGAAAGACAGCAAAGTATGTCATCTGTATAAAGTATCCTGCCCAACTGACTCAACAGTAGGTCACATACCATTTCTGTTGTTGTTATTTGGAAATTACACTGCACATTTTATATGTCAAGTGCTTTCCAATCATTTTTATTAGTCTACACACCACCAAACTAGCATCCTTAAGTATCTTGTTTCTATTTTATAGAAGAGACAAAGAGGTCAAGTGATTTGCCTAAAGTCATACAGCAAGTTTCTTAAGATCACAGGTAAAAGAAAGGAGTTGTGAGATCTGGGAGAGGCTGCAAAATTAACTGGTATCCTAATTCCTCTTTAGCCCACCACCCTTAAGGCAAGTTGAGTAGTATGTGCATAAATCTTATTTTTAATTCTAATCTTCCCCTGCATGATGGACCAGGTATGAAGAATAAGATATGTTTCCTTTTGCCACTTTTAAAAAGGAAACTTTCAATAATTTCTCTCCTCTCTGCTAAAGGAATGACCTGGGTGGAATCTAGATCCAATGACTCCCTTATACCTTTTTCCTTTATAACAATAAATAAACTCTGAGTTATAGATAAGAGAAACCAGGATGGAAAATTTAAACCCAAACATGATGTAACTTTATTCTAGAACTCTCAAGTGCCTCTTTACATGATTCCTTTCTTCTAAACGTGAGCAAGTATGACCAAGACTAATGAGTGACTGTGGTATTTATGACCAGAGACTATGCAGACAAAATTTCCCCCAGAATATGCACACTTACCTGTGTCCAATTGGATCTCCAGTCATGAATGCACATGTACACAAACATATTCAGGGTCTACTAGAACCCACTGGATAACAAGGCTGTGAGTTTACAAGCACCTCATTTAAAATGCCTCTAGAATGGGTGTTCAGAAGGTAGCTACAGAAGAAGTTAAGAAATGCAGGACGAAGATGAGACCTTTCCTCAACTAACTGCTTTTCCGTGACTTCAGAGTACCTGAGAATCTTAGTTTCTTGGCAAGCTTGCTTGCCACGTTGCTCATGGTAGGCCTGGCCATACAGGTGTGCTCTAGGTTTCAGGCCAAGGAGTGAGCACCTCCTTCCTCCACAAACTACTCCAGAGAGAGAGAGAGAAATATTGGCAGCAACTTCATGCACTAGATCTAAGAAATGGTGAAACGCCTTCCCCTGCATGCCACTACACATGTTTTAGAGGGATTAGAAAGACTTGGAGGGTGGATGGCAGGGGAGAAAGGATTCTTTTTAGATGGGAGCAAGGAGGTAGAAAACAACAGAGGCAACTCCCATTCTGGGCTAAGCCCACACTACAGACACATTTTTCCACCCTGCAGAATAATCCCTTTATCCAGCCAGTCTGGAAACATCAGTCTCTGATCATTGACTTTGGACTTTGGATGGAAACTTTAAATGGTGTGAATTTTTGGAAAGTAGGAGGAGGTAGGGGGGAAGACCATAAAAAGGAAGGTTGGGGGGGGAGGGGCCTTAACAAATAAAAGGAAACTACGACTTCAGACACAGAAGGAGGATCTTAATACTGCCAGGTAACAAGCTGAGACAGTTTCCCCAATGGAGTCTTGAAGAGGATGGTCACGGTAGTGCAGCAGGCACTAGGCCAGATTCTGGTGCTGGCTCTCAGACCCTGGGCAAGTGCATAACCTCTAAAGTCCATCCTAGCTCTGACCAGTCCTAGCTGTCCTAGCCTGACTAGTCCTAGCTTCTCCCTTCCTGCTCTGATAAGCCATTCCATTCATGCACATATTTATTGAGCACTATTTGTTCTGGGCTGGGGTAGGATGGCAAATCTCTTCTATGAAGGGCAAAATATTTTAAATGTAAACATTTTAGGCTTTGGGGGCCACTTAGTTTATGTCACAGCTACTCAACTCTGCCATTATAGCACAAAAGTAGTCACAGGCAATATGTACACAAATGAACACTGCTATGTTCCAATAAAACTTTATTTATGGATACTGAAATGTAAGTTTCATACAATTTTTTATGTATTGTGAAATACTATTATTTTTTACTTTTTTCCTAACTATTTAAAATTATAAAAACCATTCTTAGCTCACAGGCCATATAGAAAAACAAACAAGAGGTAGGATTTGGCCCATGGGCCAGTTTGCCAACTCCTGCTCTAGATATACAGTGGTGAACAAGAGAGGGTCTCCACATTCTATGGGTCTATGACTACCATTCTAGAGGTCTCCTCTGGCTTTGGAATGGCCCTATAAACATAGGCCATGCTTCATTTTGTTGCACATTGGTGTAGGCTGGCCTTCTGTTCCTTTGCAACCTCATATAACCATCATGTCCCAACCATTTGTGGCCTCCTTGGTTGTGCCAGGGGCTCCTCAGACAATGAAGTCTCAGGTTTATAGGACAGGTTTGGGTTAAAAGTAAGAATAAGAGGGATCAGCGGAAGAAATCTGTGTGTGTGGTGAGGAAAGCTATAACAAAGAATCATTAATTGTTCCTCCCAATTGAAGAAGTGGTTCTAAAGCCAAGCCACATTCAAGAGGCCAAAGAGCCGCATGTGGCTCGCAAGCCTCGGTATGCCGACCACTACCCTATCCCAGCTTTTAGGAGAAACAAGGGCATTGTGTCTTTTCCCTCCCACAGACAGATGGCCGAAGGCCAGGACTCACCTGAGGCAAGTCCGTCTCCAAGGAGGGTGCTAAGGATCACCAGTGGAAGGAACGCTCCATGTCCCACAGAGGCCACGGCAGACGCTGAGGTGCTCTTTGGTGCTATCCTGCCATGGCACATCTTTTATCCGTCCAAGTTATTTTAAAAAGAAAAAAATTAAAAGCCAAAAGAATTCTAAAGTCAGCCAGGTGTAGATTCACCTATAGAAAAAAAAAACACACAAAAAAAAAACAAGACATAAGTGAGATGAAAACTTTACCCCTATGTCACAAGTAGGCCCTTTGCTCTAAAGAAGCCATAATCATATACAAAGTTGAAAGATTTCTAGCAACTGAAATTCATGCTTTCAGAAGAAGAGACAAGCACATAAGTGGCTTTTCAACCCCTTCCTAGAGAAATACCAGGGCCTGCAGCAAGCTGCCAGCAGCATCAGCATCTAGGAGCTGGATCCTTATGATAGGACAAGGAGACAAGCATGGGCTCACCTGGAGATTCTGGGTCACAGCAAAGCTTTCAGAGACTGCCCTGGCTCTGCTTGGCTGCCTGCCTCAAAGGCTCCAGCACGGAGAAAGAGAGAGACAGCAGCTGACACAGAGCTGCTATACCGGAGTGTGGCTTTGCCTTTGCCACCTGGACTCAGTAAGTTCAACTTACTGAGAGGGAGAGGGAGAGAGAGAGAGAGAGGGAGAGAGGGAGAGAGGGAGAGAGGGAGAGAGGGAGAGAGGGAGAGAGAGGGATGGAGAACATGTGTCTTAAAGGGAGAACTACACTGCCTAGAGAAGGAATGCAGCAGTGGCAGCCAAGGGTCCCTAGCTTGGCCTGCTGTATTGCCTGAGGCTGGATGAGCCCTAGGATCTGACTCTGACTTAACAGCTCACACAACACACCTGTGATCCCAGAGGCCATACTTGTTGGTTATACCTGATAATGAGTGGGAGAGGATGGCTACAATTATTAATTAGTCCAACCATCCATTCTAGTTCAGATAAAGACTTCAGAAGAGTAGAAATCAGCATCTTAAAAAAAAAATAGGGTTCAAGACTTCTCCTTTTGTTGTTGTTGTTGCTGTTAATCCTCATTGGAGGATATTTTTCCCATTGATTTTTAGGAAAAGTGGAAGGGGGAAGGGAGAGGAGGAGGAGGAGGAGGGGGGGAGAGAGAGAGAGAGAGAGAGAGAGAGAGAGAGAGAGAGAGAGAGAGAGAGAGAGAGAGACAGACACACAGACACTCTGACCTCGATAGAGAGAGTTATATTAATTGGTTGCCTACCGAACATGCCCCAATGAAGTGGGGAACCTGCAATCCAGGTACATGCCCTTAACCAAAATCGAACCTGCAACGCTTTGGTTCCCAGGCTGACACTCTAACCACTGAGCATGACACTTTAAGAGTTTTTCTACATGCCTTCAGGGAAGCAGTTGGGTTGATGATACATTATTATATGGATCTTTTATTTTACTTAACTCATTTGATTTCATTTATCCTAGTTTATAACAGGTATTCCAAAAGTAAGATTAAGCTTCTTTTTAAATTTTAATTCCATACGCACCTCCATCGCCATTAAAAAGACCTATACTCCCCTTATAAAAAGCAACTGCAGCGCTAGCTAGGTGGCTCAGTCGTTTGGAGTATCATCCTGTACACCAAAAGCTTGGGGTTCAATTCCTGGTCAGAGCACAAACCTATTATAGGTTGCAGTTGGGGCACATACAGGAGACAACCAATCAATGTTTCTCACATCTCTGTTTCTCTCTCGCTTGTGCTCACTCTTCCTCTTCATCTCTCTAAACATATCCTTGGGTAAGAATTTTTTGAAAAGAGTGTTACTGCAAACAGCAATGAGTTGTTTCAGTCCAAAGAAAAAGCATCTGTCATGTCCTCAATGAGTAAGACCCAGGGGTTTAAGAACAGAGTTAACCACTGGGTCCTCACCCACTACCCACTACCCACAAATAGTTGTGACTGCAGTCATTTGTCGCCAGTTTTTACCCAGACTCCAATTTATGCCTTTTTAGTTTTAGAACAGGATGGTTCATGGAGAGTTCTAGGGGTGGAATCTGTGAATGACCCAAAACAGTACACAGAACTGTGGGTATGTAAATGTGTGGGATATGTATACATTTATGTGTCTAAGAACCATAGAGTCAGAATGCCAGAATTCAAATGTTGCTTCTATTATAGCCAAATTACTCTCTCAAGCATTAGTTTTCTCTTCTGTAAAATGGAGACAGTAACCATACTGTCTTCATAGGTTTGATATAAGGATTAGGATTAGAAAAAGTATTTGACACAATGCCCGAACTTTTCAAGTCCTCAATAAACTCTGCCAGCTGTTGATACAGTAATAATAAGATCTGAGCCATGGGACCTTGGAGGTTATCAGGCTTATCTACTCATTTGGACCAAACCAAGGTCCAAAGAGGTTAAAGGACATGCCCAGGGCCACCAGCCAGTTAGCAATGGGCCCTCTGGTGCTGCTGTTTTACATACAGCCACAACAGGTAACCCTACCAGGTAGTCACCTTTCCCTTAAGGCAACACCAGTAGATCATCAGGAATGACACCTGAGAATGACATCACAGCATGCACACAACAAATATTTCTGCAGTGAATGGATCAGAGTGGTGCTTAGATGTTCTGTGCAAGAGAGGAAGTGCTGCTAGGTTCACTGCAAAAGGATGTGTCCAATGAAAAAGAAGGGGATAAAAGGAGATACCGCATACAAGTGGATCAAAGCAATGGGAGCACAACACTCCTGGCAGAAGCTAGAGACAGAGGGGAGGCTAAGGCATTTAAATTGTACCCTGAAACCATGTGGAGCTTACAAGGATTAGAAACAGGGAAGTTATAACACCAAATTCATTTAGAAAGCTCACTCTGGCAGGGATTTTAGAGGGCTGGGGGTTCAGAAGGAAATGTTAAGTGGTAAACAATCTTAAATTTAGTATTTTATAATTAATGTAAAACTCCTTGGACAATCTGTGAAAATGCACATAATTCCACTTCTACTTCTAGAATCTTTCCTCAGAAATCACATGTGTACAGGATATTCACTTCATTATTTGTACTGGCAAGATTGAAGGGAAACTAGTTAAATAAGTTGCCATACAATAGAATATTATGCAGTAGTTTAAAAAGAACTGGGAAGTTCAGTCTGTAGTAGTATGGAATGACTTCCAAAAAGTATGTGAAGAAAATCTCTCGGGTATAATGAACAAAATAATGTACATCTCCTTAAGTGTTTTATCTTGTGCATGCACTATCTGTTCAAACAGATAAAATATAAATAAAATTAATGTAGCCAGGCTGTCCTGTAGACCATCTGTTTCCTCCCTCAACAAATTGACATTCAAATAAACCTGATTGCTCTCTCCGCCAGGAATATAGTCACTGTCAGGGCTCAGTACAGGACCGTCTTCCTACTCTTTTCGTAGAACTAAACCCCTTTTTCCTCCCAAAGTGCCACTCTGACTGGATTCATCCATTCACTACAGAAATATGTGTTGTGTGTATGTGCTGTGTGTGACACAGCAGGTGTTCTTGATGATCTACTGGTTGTTGCCTTAAGGAAATGGCGACTACGTGGTAGGGTCACGGGGTATGGCTGCATGTGGAGGAGCCAGCATAACTTGGGGGGAAGATGTACACTTAAGAGCTCCTGTTTTGTTCTGTTTTAAAGAAACAGCTGGCTCCTTTCTTACTGCCATGGGACCAATTCCACCACGAAGACTAAGACCTGATCAAGTGCACAACAGATGGGATGATGAAAATGGGGCTTTAAAAAAAAAAAAAAAGAAAGAAAGAAAAAGAAAGAGAGAGAAGATAAATGGAGGGCAGTCAATGGAGTATTTTTACATGTAAGTCTGAGCCAAGGGTCAGTACTTCAGAAATAATAGAGAAAAACGAATCCCCACAACAGAAGACTCCAGCTACTGTGGAGAAAGGGTCACAGCATACATCCAATAATTTTAAAAAATAATCTGTTTTGAACACAGGAAGGAAGGGAGGGAGGAAGGAGAAGCCAGGAGGGAGGCAGGCAGCAGCAGGCAGACCTGTCCTTGAATTGTGGCTTTACACCAAATCAAAAGAAAAACACTTCAGAACAAATTAAGACTAAGTATTCATTATCCCTAGAAAAACACATGGGCAAAAACTTAAGAAAAATAAGAGAATACATATTACTTCAGTATTCCTTTGGAATGTTAGGGACCACTTCCCCTAATTAAAAAAATATATATATATAATTAAATAGAAACAGAAAATAAAATAGTGGTTATCAGGAGGGTGGAATAGGAAGTTATATTGTTTAATGGGTAGACGTTTTCAGTTTTGCAACATGAAAAGAGTTATGAAAATGGATGGTGGTGATAGTTGCACAACATTATTACTGTATTTATACAACTGAACTGGACACTTAAAAATGACTGATGGTCGATTTTACTTTATATTTTACCAGTTAAAAAAAAAAGGGGGGGGGGAATAGGATTAATGAGGGACCTGGAATTCAGCTTCATTTCCAAAGCCTGCACTCACCCATCCTAACAAGGCATATAACATGTAAACTTAAGAGGTGAGAAGAAAGAAGAGGTTCTGGGGCTACAGTTAGTCCCTCCTCTGCCACCAACTAAATAGCTGGTCATATCTCTGGCTTCCATTTCCACATCTCAAAAAGCTCTAAGTTCTCTCTCAGCCACAGAATTCTACATGGCATCCAAAATTCTTTTTGTAGAAGCCATCTCTCCTCCAACAGCCAGTTCCCCCCACCAAAACAAAGGGTGAGGAGTCATGGAAAATCTGCGTTCACCCTTATTTTCTTTCTTGGAACTAGAGCTGCTGTCCCAATAGAATGTGGCAAAGGGAGACCTCGACTGTCAGCCCCTCAAGGGCAGGGTCTGGCCTTTTCCATCTCTATAAACCCAGAACATCAAAACCAGGTGACTGGGCTCTGCTGAATGTGATGTCACTAACATTCATTTCCTGTCCACAATGACCCTCCAAGAGGAAGAACACTGCCCTTAAGCCACAGCTCTGATCTTGGGGAAGCCACTTATCTCATTTCTCCCTATGTTTTCTCATCTGTAAATTGGGGCTGTGGCTTGCTTTGAATATCTCTCTGGTCT